CAGCGGTCCGGCTCCCGGTCCGGGTCCGGAAGGGGAGCAGCGGCCCGAGGGAGAACCCTTGGCCCCAGACGGCAGCCCCCCGAACAGGTAGGGCGGACCGCTCCGCAGACCCAGCTCACAGACCTTCCCAGCACCCACGCCCCAAGTATCCCTAGTCTAGTAGCCGCCATATGTCGCCCCATTCATTCCCCAAGACCTTCCGAGAGCCCCTTCCCGGGATCGCCACCCTCTCGCCCCCCTTGCCACGCCCTCATCCTGCAGGATCGACTTCCTCGCTCCCTGACACCCCCTAGTGTCAGCCCCCATCACCTTTCTCGCTTAGGGAACCTGCCCCACCCACTGTTCCTTCTCCTCTAAGGTTGGCGTTCCCTGGGTCCTCCTGCCTCCCGTGCCCCTCCCTCTAGGCCCTGCCCCTGCGTCTTCTTAGGAAGCCCCAAGCTTGCAGCAACCTCAGTCCGGGTTTCAGCGTGTCAGTGTGCAAGGGGTGCGCATGTATCGTGGACGGGAGGCTCGCCAAGGCGGATGTTCTGGGGATGGCAGACACCCGGCAGCCACGTCAGGGACTGTCTTTGTCCGTCACCGTCAGTCGCTTGCCTGTCCTGCATGGCCCCCAGCTGTGCACGTGTGGGTTCCAGTCCCTGCATGTGGCAGCCACACTCGCTGGAGTCGCTAAAGTGGGAAGGCTCTGACTCTCAGGCTGCTGCTCCGGACCACCCCCGAAGGAGCCCCAGACTGGTGCGACAGGAGGGACACCCTCCTGCTGAGGGCCCAGGCCTGGATACTTCTCCCTTCCCATCCTCCACCATATGTGTGAGGGAACAGCCCAGCCAGGTAGCAATATGGCGCAATTTCTGTGCCCTGGCTGGCTCTACCACCCCCAGAATCCCTCCTCTGACATGACACTGCTTTCTCTCCTGCCTGAAACGAAATAAAAAGCATTCTTTGGTGGCAAAAAGCAGAGATGGACACATTGTCTCCAGATTGCCCCAGTTAAAATGTACATTCTGTACCTCAGAGAGAAGAGAGAGCCCCACAAGTGGAGAGAAATGTTTCCTTCCCTTTATTGTTAACACATCAGCCTGGATAGATTTAGCCACCTTTCAGTCTAAAAGGCACAGAGCCTTCTTTGAGAGGGTGAGGCATAGGGTGGATGTGTTTGCCAGACCAGGGGTCTGCATGGAACTGTGTCCTGTCCAGAGAAGCCAGGGAGAGAGCAGTGACAGGGCAGGGCAGGGACCCGGGGCCAGGAGCATCCCTCAAAGGGGCTGGAGAATCATTTTCTGCCTAGGATATCTTGCCAATATATCCCCAGGGCATAGGTTCTACTTGCTCTCTTCCAAAAACTCCCTGGGACCTCTGGCCTCTCTCTGCACTTTCCTAGAGACCATGGACGCTAATCAGGCATAGAGATTTGCCTTTGTGACTCAAGAAACACAAATATGCTCCTGCTGAGCTAAGTAGCACTTGGGAATAGATGCACAGTGAATAAGACACACACACACACACACAAACAAGCACACACAATCCTTTACAAATCCATTGGCTATAGAGAAATATGAACTACTTAATACTTTGTGTTTTTAAAATTACCTTTTGATATTCCTAGTGGTAGGAGCTGCTTCCCCATCCTGGCCACTCTGTGGAATCACATGGATGTCCACATGACTGTGTGTCTGTGGGCTTGGCATGGTTAATGCACATGTACATTTGTCCTTTATACATTTGCCTTTATTTGCCACATATACATTTGTCCCAATGTACAGTTGGGACACTGTGTCTGGGGCCCTGTCAGTGAGAGGTGAGGCCTGCACCACCACTTTCCAATCCCCTGCCTGTCTGCCCCAGTCACTTGGCATACAGGCCAGCAGGCCCAGGCAGAGAGCCCAGGAAGTTACTCATCCCGGTCAAGACCATGGAACCGAGAGGGGGAGAATGGAAGCCACTTGCGAGAGGGAGGCCTGGAGTGCTTAACTCCTATTATTATCGGGTGTCCTGAGAGCAAAGGGCAGCAGGAGCTGGCAAGAGAAAGCTTTTATTATAAGAAGAGTAAAGGTTGGTTCTTTTCATTGGGAGTGGTGAGACAAAGACCTGGCTCTACAACAGTCAGAATGCAGAGGGTTTCAAATTCTGCCACATTGATGATGGTGGGTACAATAAAAAAGAATGAGATTGAAAGCAGCTGATCCTAGGCCCCTGGAGAGGAGTAATAGGGGTTGAAGGGAAGGAGCTGGGGCCAAGGAGACCTCAGTGGAAGCAAATCAATGGTGGCAACTAGGGTCCCCCTTGAACAGGAACCAGCTAAGGAAAGGAGGGGCTCATGAGGCTTGGGAGCCTGGTTAAGGAGGAGGGCTCCCATTCTCCAGCATCCCTTGGAGTGCTGCATTACCCTAACGCAAAAGAAACTGACTCTCAAAGTGGGGGCCTGACTCCTAGGAGAAGCTCAGTGGTCAGTTCTCTAAAGCTGTGGGAAGTCGGAATAGGTCTCTGACCTCCACCCAGGCTGCCCCACTCTCCTGACCCCTGGAAGGAAGACCCCACTCTGTAAAGGGAGACCAAGGTTGATCTTCATGCCTTCGGGTCCCAACCCAGATCAAGCACAGTGCTGAGCACATGACAGCTGCTCAGAAAAGACCAGAATTTAAAATCTTAAAGAAGTAAATGTTGGCCGGGCTCGGTGGCTCAGCCTGTAATCCCGCACTTTGGGAGGCCGAGGTGAGTGGATTGCCTGAGCCGGCAGGTTCGAGACCCACCCGGGCAACTTGGCGAGACCTCATCTCTACAATAAATCAAAAAATTAGCCGGGTATGGTAGTGCGCACCTGTAGTTCCAGCTACTTGGAAGGCTGAGGCGGAAGGATCACCGGAGCCCAGCAGGTCGAGGCTGCGGTGGCCGGGAGCGGCCACTGCACTCCAGTCTGGGCAACAGAGTGAGACTCCAACTCAAAAAAAAAAAAAAGGAAGTAAATGTTTAAACTTACACACATAACCCAGGCCATTTATCCAGCTTCTCTTTGGCTCACAGGGATTGGCCTACAGCATTCTTTATCTGCCAGGACATTGGTTGTTCATGTCATTAACTTTATGGAGTCATCTGAGGTCTTGTTTTAGAACAACTTTGGTCAAATTCCTATTTTTCTGAATGTTGAATTATTAAGAAATAAGTATCAATGATTTAAATCATGAGATCAAATTCTGATACAGCTTCTAGATAACAAAAAGGAAAGTATTTATAATTACATACGTAGTAAGAGTCTTAAGGTGTGAGAAGTTCTAAAATAGAGATATGTTATCTAAGGTGCCGAAAGAGGACAAATTGTAAATACAAGCAGACCTCTTAAAATCCATGCTCCCTGCAGCACTGAGTGTGGGAAGGGACAGGAAAGCAAATGTGCCTTGCACATGGCAGACTCTGTGCCAGGCACCTCCCAAATGCTACATCAGTTAATTCCCATACTACAGAGGTGGGCATTCTCATCAGATCCTCAGCAGACAAGGATGCCAATGCTCCAAGAATTGTGTGTCTTTTCCAAGGCCCCAGAGCCAAAGGGAGATAGAGCCAGCAGCCCACCTCTACTGCTCCCCTATTTTACTCTCAGCAGGATGGTCATTCTCTTCCAGACTGTTGGGTCAGCCAGTCACCCTTCTGGGAAGAAGAGAGCTTGTCTATCTTTCTAGTTCCTCTACTTGGTCTCTGGGCAGAACCCAGCTTCCGTGGGCAATGACCATCTGCCACCAAGGCTGGGACTCTAGCCCACAGCCCCTTTAGCAGTGCGGCAGCCAGGCAGGCCTGGAAGCCAGGGTTGGCTCAGCAAAGATCTGGATGGGAACTGTGCAAACTCTGGTGGGCCGGGTGAGCCAGACAGGGGGTGGGGGAAGGAGACAGGGCTCTGCCAAGGCTGACCAGCCCTGAACCCCGCTGGAATCTCTCATAGCCCCAGGCACTCTGTCCTGTGGCCATCTTATCCTGTCCTGGGTCTGGTGATCCTGCTGCTGAGGTGAGACTCCATCTCCCCCGATACCCAAGGAGTGGAGCTGGGTCCATGCACAGAGTGTAGCCCTGATGAATAATTCTGGAGGAGAAATCCTTCCCTGCAAGTTTCTTGGCTAAGGGGAGGGGAGGGGAGGAGGGAGGTCCCAACACCTACTCTCAACTGTGTACACCCTTGCAAGGCAAACCTTCTACTCTGCATGGCCCATGACAGGCTTGGTGGAAGGGCAGCAGTTGCCTCTGCAAACATTCCCTGACTACACCCACCCCTGCCAAAGTGGGGCCCTCAGCCCTCTGTGACTTCCTCTCTCACAGCATTCAACATGTCCCAATTACTGTGAGTCCCTAGAGGGCAAGGACTGGGTCTTTTTCATCCTTGCACCGCTGTTAGCGGCCAGTCTAGCAGTCATCCAATAAACACTTCCAGGGTACCTTCTGTGTGCAAGACACTGTTCAAGGTGCTTGAGATATGGAGATGAACAAATACACCAGGCCCCTGCTCTCCCAGCACTCACATTCTATATGGAAGACCAGCAATAAACATGACAACTGCATAACACAGTATGCACAGTTGTAGCAAGTGCTATGAAAAAACATCAAGCAGGGTAAGTAAATAGAGATCCTAGGGGTGACTATTTTAGACAGAGTAGTCGAGAAAGGCTTTTCTGAGGAGGTAATAATTGAATCAAGACCACAGTGAAAAAGAGGGCCATATAATTATCTGAGGGAGGAGCAATCCAGGCAGAGGAAAGAGAAAGTTCAAGGGCTCTAAGATGGGAACAAGAGTGCAGCAGGTGCTCAATAAATGTCTGTCAAGAGAAAGAACAGATGCCCGCAGCAGAAAGAGCACAGGGCAACAAGTCAGAAGCACTGTGTTCAAGGTCCAGTCCTTCGTCTCTTGCTGAACCTGTTTTCAAACCTATAAAATGAGAAAAAATTTCCCTTGTAGAACTTTTGTAAGGAGTAGACAAGATCCTCTATGTAAAAGCATGTTCAGTGTCTAGCAAAGTGCCTGGCATGTAGCAGGCTGCCAACAATGTTTTTTGAGAGCACAGACGGATGAGTGAATGAGAGGATGGGACTCCCAAGAGGTAGTCTGGGGGTACAGACTTCAAACCCTGCCCTCCTCATCTCTCCCCAAGACCACTAATAAATCAACCCTGTCTCCTTGTCTTGTCTTACTGAACGATGCTGGGGCATGTGATGGCCCACCACCATCACCCACCCCAATCCTCCCTGCCTCCTCTCTTCCTAGCACCCAGACCGAGGCTGTGGCCCCCGAGGCAAGCCCAGAGAGAAGCTGCTCCCTCCACAGCTGCCCCCTTGAGGACCCTTCCAGCTCGTCAGGACCCCCACCAACATCTTCCACCCTCCAGCCCGTGGGTCCGTCCAGCCCCTTGGCCCCTGCCCACTTCACCTATCCCCGACCACCACAGGAATACCAGGGGGGCAGTTCCCTGCCAGGACTTGGGGACCGGGCAGCTCTGTGTTCCCATGGCTCCAGCCTCAGCCCTTCCCCAGCCCCCTCACAGCGCGATGGGGCCTGGAAGCCACCCGCGGTGCAGCACCATGTGGTCAGTGTCAGGTAAGGAGGGGTCCAGCAGCTTACCAACTGCCACTGGAAGGTGGGGCAGGGCTTAAAAGCGGGGCAGACTCCTGGGGCTCTGGACTTTCTCAGGTGGCAGCCCAGAGGAAGCAGGAAGTAAGAGTTGGAATTTGGGAGTGGGGAAGCAACAAAAAGGTTAATACCATCTTCTTCTATCCCTCACCCTCCCACTCCCACCCCATCTCTCCCCACACACATCCCACCTCACAAAAGGACTCTGGCAAGCAGATGTCTTTTTTTGTCTTCCACAGGCAGGAGCGGGCCTTCCGGATGCCAAAGAGGTAGGCCTGTGCCTTTCTTGGACCTCTATGGGTGACCAAGCTGGTGCCCAGTTTAGCTCTGCTCCATGTGTTCTCTGCGGTACTACCTCTCTATGGTGGACCCTAAGCTCATCAGCCCCCTGCTACCACACCCAACTCATGTGGGCTCCCTCCGTCTTCCCCAGCTATTCCCAGCTGATTGCTGAGTGGCCAGTGGCCATGCTGCTGCTGTGTCTGGCTGTCATCCTCCTCTGCACCCTGGCTGGACTGCTGGGGAGTCGGCTGCCTGACTTCTCCAAGCCTTTGCTGGTGAGGGGCCAAGGGGAGGGAGGGGAGCCCTAGGCCTGGCCACCCAGCTCAGTCTGGGGCAGAGGCTCGGAGTGCCCTAGCTGGGTGGGGTAGCAATGGTGGGCTCTGGACCACCAGAAAGCTGGGGAGATGGTCTAGAGGTCATACTCATATCCATCATCCAGGAAGGAGGGCTGGCTCTCCCTGCTCCAAGGAACCAGACGGGCAGAGCTGAGAAGGGCCCAGATGGAGAACTCCTCCCCTGCACACTTGTTCTTCTCTTCCCTCCTCCCTGCAGGGCTTTGAGCCCCGGGACACAGACATCGGGCGCAAGCTAGTGGTTTGGAGAGCACTGCAGGCTCTCACGGGCCCCAGGAAGCTTCTTTCCCTTTCCCCAGACCTTGAGCTGAACAGGTAACAGGGTCTCATCTTTCTGCTGTGGGTGGGAAAGGGAAGAAGAACAAGACCTCCAGGGCGGGGACATCGGGTGACCTCTTCAAGACAGGTCAGAGGGGCTTGCTGGGACTCCCTGGGGAGTGGTCTCTGGTCTCCTCTGTGCCTTCCGCCCCAATGAAGTCTGGCATAGATATTCTCTCTACTTCAGTTCCAGCTCACACATCATTCTGAACCCTACTCCCTGGGGCAATGCCCAGGAGGGCATTGTCCGGCCTCGGAGAATGGTGGAGCTGTTGGAGGACAGAGGACAGGAGAGCTTTTTCTGTGGCCCCCCTGGTATGCTGCAGTTCCTGGCTTTAATGGTAGTCCCCTCTCCACCTAGTATGATAGGCAGGCCCCAGAACAAATCTGGGCAGACAGAAAGAGAAGGCGGCCAGCTGGCCACGTTCAAGTCAAGGACACTGGGTTACAGCTGGAAGGATGAGGCAGGTCTTGGGTGCTCTAGCCAGGTAGGGTCAAGCTGGGTAGGGGCAGGGTATGGGGCAGGATCAGGCAGCCAGGCCCAGGTTTGAGACTCCTGAGAGTTTTAACTACACAAGGCCCTAGATAAGCATCTTCCCTTCGGTGGGCCCTGGACCTGGGACCAAAGGACTGAGCTCTGGGAGGGGGGTGTGTTGCAGAGAAGAGCTACGCGCAGCTGGTGTTCATGTCCACCTCAGCGGGCAGCCTTTGGAACCTGCACGCCATCCATTCCATGTGTCGCATGGAGCGGGACCAGGTGAGCCGGCTGGGGAGGTGCCAGGGGCTTGCGGGGAACTAAGGACACGAGGAACCTGATCCCGGGGAAGTACAGCTAAGCCAGGACTGCCAGGGTGGACTGGGGAAGAGCATTCCCTGCTTAGAAAATCATTCCAACGCCGCTGAGAAGCTCCAGGTTGGGGTGGGAAAAGAAGAGTGGGCTGTTTTTAGAAGAGCCGAGATCCAAGTACTGGAAGAGAGCCCATGCAGAGCCGGGGGATTTTCCAAAGGTCCTGGAAAGGGGCCTCAGGAGCTGCTCTAAAGGCCTTGGCCCAGGGAGCTGAGACCGTGGGCTTCAAGGCCCCAGCCCCCACCAACTCAAGCAGTGCCAATCCAGTGATGGTAACTGGAGAACGTATACAACAACATCTGAAGAAAGGTTTGCTGCTAAAAACAGTGTGAAACTGCTCAGTAGCCCAAGGCCCCCACTTCACACAAGGATATCCAAAGTACCAAAAGACTGGTTAAGAACATATGTTCTGGAGTCAGATGCCTGGATTTGAGGCCAGATCTAAGGATCCCTTGCTGTGTGCCTTCAGGCATGTTTCTTAACCCCTCAGTGTCTCAGTCTTCATATATATTAAATGAGGACAATAATGATACTTTCCTTACAGAGATGTTGTGACAGTTAAACAAGACAGACTTTGGGAAAATATGACATAATGACTGACAATAATAATCTCTAAATAAATGTTACTGTCTTGTCACCATGATCTCAGGCCCAAGGTCACACAGTTAGTTCGTGGAAGAGCAGATTCTGACTCCCAGGCTAGTGCTCTCTGTATTTCATCAGCTGCTGTGGTGTCAACAGCAGGGAGGGAAAAGGAAGCATGCGGTCTGAAAAAAGAAAGAACCCTGGCCCCAAGAGGATTTAAGCAGTAGAGAGAGGAAGGGGGCTAGGGTTTGGCAGTAACCCTGATCCTGGAACGTGTTGGCCTCCACTTTTCCCACTGCTTGCTTCTAGCACCTTGGGCCCTCGGCCCTGTTCTATCTGTGGCTGCTACCTCCACTTCCACTCCTGGCTCAGGCAATGCAGAGTTGGAGTGTGTAACCTCCAGGAGCCCTGAGAGCAAGGCTCTCGGGGCCACGGCCTCGGGCAACATCCCTGGGGCCCCTCTTTGATGGAGTCAAGATGTAGCTGCTGGCACCTGGGCCAGGAGCCAAAGAGCCGTGAGACAAGCCAGTTATGCTGAACTGTCAAGATCCCCCTCTGCCTCTGCCCTGCAGCCTGAAAGAAGGTGAAAGGGCCTCAGACGGGGCTGGGGAAATCTGGGCCCTTGGACTGCCCCTGAGCTCTCTCCTTCCGTGTGTGCCCTACAGATCCGCTCCCATGCTCACTTTGGGGCTCTGTGCCAGCGTACAGCAACCAACGAATGCTGCCCCAGCTGGTCCCTGGGCAACTATGTGGCTGTGCTCTCCAACCGCTCCTCCTGTCTGGACACCACCCAAGCCGATGCAGCCCGCATCCTGGCCCTGCTTCGGACCTGCGCCCTCTACTACCACCGTGGGGCTCTGGTGCCCTCTTGTCTGGGACCCAGGCAGGACAAGTCCCCACGCTGTGCCCAGGTTCCCACCAAGTGCTCCCGAAGCAGTGCCATCTACCAACTCCTGCACTTTCTGCTTGACAGAGACTTTCTGAGTCCCCAGACTGCCGACTACCAGGTGCCCTCCCTCAAGTACAGCCTGCTCTTCCTGCCCACTCCAAAGGGTGCTTCCATGATGGGCATCTACCTGGACCGGCTAGCCACCTCCTGGAGGCTCTCTGACAACTACACGTCCATCACCGGCATGGACCTGGGCCTCAAGCAGGAGCTGCTGAAGCACTACCTGGCCCAGGATACGGCGTACCCCTTGCTGGCTGTGGCTGCCATCTTCTTCAGCATCGCCCTCTACCTGCGCTCATTTTTCCTCACGCTCATGGTGCTGCTGGGGGTGCTGGGCTCCCTGCTGGTCGCCTTCTTTCTTTACCAAGTGGCCTTCCGCATGGCCTACTTCCCCTTCGTCAACCTGGCAGCCCTGGTCCTGCTCAGCAGCGTCTGTGCCAACCACACGCTCATCTTCTTCGACCTGTGGCGCCTCAGCAAGAGCCAGCTGCCCGCCGCGGGCCTGGCGCAGCGCGTGGGGCGCACCATGCACCACTTCGGCTACCTGCTGCTGGTGTCTGGCCTCACCACGAGC